TTTGCGTTTATTCTACAAATCACTCGTTAAGAGATTTTCAAATATTTTTACAGACCTTGGAAACTTTTTGATTCATTCGTCAATATATTTGTCGGCAGTGCTCTGTGGGATGGTACGCTGTTTGTTTAACCCTGTACCGACTAATTTGTGATTAACTTTCACTTGTATCATCCTCGTTACCGACTTATTCCACCATTTAATATGGAGCTAGTGATTAGCGGAATGGCATGTCCTAATGCACTGTGACCATATAAAAATTTATGGGATATTTGGCTGGGATCGTCAACACATATAACATTGCATGATGAGGGCCCATAAGAGCTGACACTAACTTATAATAGTCCTGTATGAACTGTTTATTAAGGGCTTGTCCCCTGATCATTTCCTGTTTCTGTTGAAAGACGACATTTCCTTGGAAGGTCAAGGGGTCTATTCGGTGTTTATCCTATGTTATGAATCTGAGCAGGAAATAATTACGGTACTATCGTTACTGGAGGCTTCGACACGCTCTCTCACGATCAGAACCACATATTGCCTGTAATGTGGTAAATAGTATTTTATTTCAAAGGATCAGACAGATAGCAAAATCTGCAAATGAAACGCTTTTCTTGATGATAAAAGATGAATAATAGCTCCATTTACTTTGGTAATAGAGGAAAGGGTCTTGGCGATTAGGTATATGAAACATTAGAGAAAATGGACGATTTGGTCATTGAGCTCATAAATCGGGGTTTTGATGATTGATCGAAACTTAATCTTGTGGGAAGGCAGATTGGGTATGTTGATGGCCTGTGGAGACCAGCCTTGCCCACCGCCTGACATTTATGATAAATGGCGACCCAAGTTATACTATAGTGAGGGTAATTACATCTTATGCCTATGTAGAGATGGTGTCAGCACTGTCGTGATGGAGTGGCTGGCTCATCAGACGTTGTGTGAGAGAGCAGAGAGAACACACCAAGATGTTTCCTCCTGCTCTTGTCTCTGCCTCACTGGGTCTGTCCATCCCTGTCGTCTGCTCGCATCTCACATGGCAGCCATCTTGGTTTCGGTAACACCCACCGAGTGGTCAAGGGCGAGTGTATGTAACCATTGAGTCACGCGGCCATCATTCTTCATCATGCTCATTGGTTAGTGTTACTGGCATTGAAGTCTTTCAATTCTTGACTATAATTTTAACTTTTATGTTTACGGTTCATTTTATGCTATTTTTGGTGTCTTTTGTTTCTTGAAAATTTTATGGATGAATGAAATCATTAATAATTAATGTCCATCTCATTCTATTGATGTGGCTTGAGAAGAAAACATATTTATTATTTAAATGTTATTTACTGAGTAAGATGGAATGTTTTTGCCTTTCAAAGACTTAGACCAGATAATAGCATTGTGTAAAGTAACAAGATTAAGCTTCAGCAGAACAGAAGCTCTGTTTTGTCAGATAATTGGTCCATGGTTTATCAAGCATAATAAAACATAAGACCACACTAGAACCTGAACCTAGGCTATAACATGTCCATGCTATTGTATATCAACAGACCAGCATCAATCAAATTATCCCATGACAGGTAGAGTCAGTGTATGACTGCAATCAACACCTGCCTCATTTCCTTGAATGCTCCTGACTTTGCTTAATACATGGAGCAAATTAAGCCAACCTTTCCGTTTTGTCCATCCTGATCATATTCCATAAATATGATAACAGGCAATAAATCACGGCCATGACACGAAGGTGTCAGCTCCGATGTTCCACCTACCTGTCATTTACACCTGTAATTAAGTCACCTGTCAGTTTTTGTTTACCTCCCCTGACTGAAAGTCTTAACTAAATATCGCTGATCTGTCGCTCATAGTGAATGGTCTAGCCTAATCTCTTGAATATCCACTCCTGTCAAGCCATTCCACCCCAGGCATGTCGGGCTATCCTCCTGTCCTGGTATAAGGTCCCTCCAGTATATCTATTGCCTGATTGCCCTAATCTCAACATGCCCTCTCCTCCATTGGGTAGGTACATTGAATCAGCACTCACCTCTAGTCATTCAGCTTCTGTTGGAATCTTGGATCCAGTGCTATGGTTTCAGAAACATTTTCGGCTTGTTCTCCTAATTCACGCTTGTATGTAGTTATGACTCCTGGTATTTCATACGCTCAGTTGGGTTTATATGTTGGGTGGATTCTGTTGATGGGGTGGTTGCTCGGTGATGGGATTTGATGAAGATGAGCTTTTGGGTATGTGGGTAGGGAGTCAAGTTGTTGGTAGGTTGATTTGATTGGTAGGTAGATTTGATTTGATGATGTTTGTTTGCTTGATGGAAAGTTTGTTGGTTGGATGGCTGGCTGGTTGGTTGGTGGTTTGTTTATTTGTTGGTTGGTTGATTGGTTGGTTGACTGTCTGGTTCTCTGACTGTCTGGTAGGTCATTTGGTTTGTTTATTGGTTGGTTGTGTGGGTTGGTATTGCAATTGGGTTGGATAAAGTTTGGTTGATGGATAAAATAAAAAGTTGGTTGGTTGGTGGTTTGTTTGTTTATTTGTTGGTTGGTTGATTGGTTGGTTGACTGTCTGGTTCTCTGGCTGTCTGGTAGGTCATTTGGTTTGTTTATTGGTTGGTTGTGTGGGTTGGTATTGCAATTGGGTTGGATAAAGTTTGGTTGATGGATAAAATAAAAAGTTGGTTGGTTGGTGGTTTGTTTGTTTATTTGTTGGTTGGTTGATTGGTTGGTTGACTGTCTGGTTCTCTGGTTGTCTGGTAGGTCATTTGGTTTGTTGGTTGGTTGGTTGTGTGGATTTGTATGACAATTGGGTTGGAAAAAGTCTGGTTGATGGATAAAAAGTTGGTTGTTTTGTGGGTTCATATGTTAGGTATATGTAGGGTTGGTGGTTGTATGAAGTTTGTGGGGTTGATGGAAAGGTGTTGATGGGTTGATGGGTTATCTTGGGTAGATTTGGTGGATTTTTAGATGAAGAGGTGTATGTTTTTTAGAAGGTAAATCACACAAAAAAATTGTGTCTGTGAAAGACCAATTTCATCCCAGTCTTACACCAATAATTCTTCAAAGAAAGAGAAGAGCATTAAAAGGTCGATGCAGGCTTCATAGATAAGAAAAACATTCCAAGAATGTTTGGTTTTGATGTCATATGTTTCAAAGCTCTTCATCCTTTTCCAAAGTTCACCCTGATATGACCAACCTTTCATTCACCCCAAATTAACTCAGATCTGCCTCCGGTCACCTGACCACCCATCTGCCCACTCCACTGACCCCCACCTCCCCCTCCTCCTTTTCCATGCTAATACTCCACCCCCTCAATCCCACCCCTTCACGTCTGCCTGCTTCATCAGCGTCTGCCTCAGTTTCTGGTCAATGCTAATTGTCATATCAGGTGACTGTGATGTGTTCATTTGTGTTGGTGTGATTGTCTGTGTTTACCTCTTGCCTTCAGGTGAAGAGGGGGCGGTGGGGTAGCTTAGTGGTTAAAGCATCCGCTCGTCACACTGAAGACCCGGGTTCGATTCCCCACATGGGTACAATGTGTGAAGCCCATTTCTGGTGTCCCCCACGTAATGTTGCTGGAGTATTGCTAAAACCGGCCTAAAACACAACTCATTCTCTCACTCACCCAGGTAATTGGGCACAATACAAAATGGCGTCTCCTAGGATGGCTGTATGGCTGTATTATCTATTTATATTTCGATTCATTGGCCTGAAAAGGTAAAATAGTATACCCTTGGCAAGGGACTTAAAAATGTAAGTGGGACGTTGCTTTCAGCAACATTACAGCAATATCACGGCGGGGGACACCAGAAGTGGGCTTCACACATTGTACCCATATGGGGAATCAAACCGGTGTCTTCGACGTGACGAGTGAACGCTTTAACCACTAGGCTACCACCCTCCCACCCCATCCCCTGGATCGGGAAGGGATGGGGGAGAGGTGCGGTGGGTGGGTGAACTATATATAGAGACAGATTGTTTTATGCTACTTTTAGCAATGTTCTACTAACATCATTGGGAGACACCAGTAATGGGCTTGACCATGTGGAGAATTGAACTACACCATAACCACTAGCCTACACCACCACCCTGTTCAGTGTTATAACAATAGATAAATATATTGGCTAGTATCAAGTTAGGATTCAGTGATTAGACTTGCATCTAGTCTCTGAGATGAAAATGATTTATGGAAGAAATTGTTTCTAAATTGTCTTGATGAAATATAACAAACAGAGGCCCAGTGACTCTCTTCAATATCAGACCTCAAAATGCAGAAATCTGGACTTGCGTGGGCAGGATGTATTTGTGTGAAGTCTGTATGACAGATTTGTCTGCGCTTTTTCAGATCCCTTGTCAGCTCAGATCAGCAAATCAGGTGTAGGGTTTTGTTCAGTCTGTGACACCCCTCCCGTATTTTGTTTAAGCATCATAAGACTAAGAATATACGCCTATGGTTTTTTTTATAAACAGCCTATACCTAACCCTAAACCCTAACCCTAAACCTAACCCTAAAATCTAGCCCCAAACCTAACCCTAAACCCTCGAAATAATCCCAAGGAATAGAATACATTTCAAGTGGGGGTTACGGGCGGATCTTTTACCCTCCATTTTACCTGAATCATGCAAAAGATGGATTTAATGAATAACTCATCCTTGAGGTTAAGGTATCTCTGATTCATCTTATTTAACTTGCTTGCTCAGATTTGTATGAAGTCCAGTATTTACTTATCTAAATGATTCAGTATGGCATGTAATTATTTACCCAGTGTAATGGCTATTTAGCAGCGATGGACACAGATTAGCGCTAACTTTGTCTTTTACATGGTTAACGCTGATGACGAGGGTATGCACCTGAGGTGGTGTTGAGGGTCCCAGCTGTGTCACAAAGGATGTTTGTGTGACACGGGGGATTCAGAAGGGATGTCGTGCAGCAGGGCTGGCACTGGAGGGAGTAATGAACACTTAGGATAATCTCACTGAGGACATTAAATCAACATTAATGCTAGAGGTACTTAGTGCTGTGGGAGAGTAGGATGGGTGGAGGTAGGGGGAGGGAAATGGGAGGGAGTGTAGGATGGGTGGAGATGGTCAGTAGGGAAGTGTGAGGGATGGGAGGGAGTGTAGGATGAGTGGAAGTAGGGGGTAGGGAAGTGTGAGGGATGGGAGGGGAGGATAGGATGGGTAGGGGTAGGGGAGTGTGGGATGGGGAAGGGGATGTTGGGTGGAAGTAGGGGGTAGGGAAGTGTGGGAAGTGTGGAGGGGGTATGGGAGGGGGATGGGTGGGAGGGGGCATGATGGGTGGGAAGTAGGGGGGGAAGTGAGGAGGGGGAGGGAGGGTAGGATGGGTGGAAGTAGGGGTGGGGAAGTGGGAGGAGGATGGGTGGGGGGGGAGGGAAGTGGGAGAGGAGGGAGGGAGGGGTGTGTAGGATGGGAGGGTAGGGGGTAGGGAGGTGTGTGAGGGATGGGAGGGAGTGTAGGATGAGGTGGAAGTAGGGGTAGGGGAAGGGGGAGAGGGAGGGTAGGATGAGTGGGGGTAGGGGGAGGGAAGTGTGAGGGATGGGAGGGAGTGGAGGGTGAGTGAGAAATACAGCCATGGATGGTTTAGGGAAGTGGGTGAGGGTAGGATGGATCATGGGCCATGGATGGTTTAGGGAAGTGGGTGAGGAGGTGAGGTTGGTGAAATACAACCATGGATGGTTTAGGGGAAGTGGGTGAGGTGAGGTAGGTGGGTGAGAAATACAGCCATGGATGGTTTAGGGAAGTGGGTGAGGGTGAGATAGGTAGGTGGGTGAAATACAGCCATGGATGGTTTAGGGAAGTGGGTGAGGTGAGGTGTAGGTGGGTGAAATACAGCCATGGATGGTTTAAGGGAAGTGGGTGAGTGAGGTAGGTTGGTGAGAAATACAATATTGTTTATGGAAATGGGTGAGAGGAGAGTACTAGGTTGGTGAAAGACAACCATGGTTTTAGGTATGGAAGTGGGTGAGAGGAGGTAGGTTGGGTGAAATACAGCCATGGATGGTTTAAGGAGATAGGGAAGTGGGTGAGGTGAGAAATTGAGAGGTGGGTGAAATACAGCCATGGATGGTTTAGGAGAGTGGGTGAGTGCAGAGGTAGGTGGGTGAAATACAGCCAGGTTTAGGGAAGTGGGTGAGGTGAGGTAGGTGGGTGAAATACAGCCATGGATGGTTTAGGAAAATGGGTTTAGGATTAGAGTAAAGGTAATGGGTGAAATACATGGATGGTTTAGGGAAGTGGGTGAGAGGGTGAGGAGGGAGGTAGGTGGGTGAAATACAGCCATGGATGGTTTAGGGAAGTGGGTGAGGAGTGAGGTAGGTGGGTGAAATACAATATGGATGGTTTAGGAAAGTGGGTGAGGTGAGGTAGGTGGGAGAAATACAGCCATGGATGGTTTAGGGAAGTGGGTGAGGTGAGGTAGGTGGGTGAAATACAGCCATGGATGGTTTAGGGAAGTGGGTGAGGTGAGGTAGGTGGGTGAAATACAGCCATGGATGGTTTAGGGAAGTGGGTGAGGTGAAGTAGGTGGGTGAAATACAGCCATGGATGGTTTAGGGAAGTGGGTGAGGTGAAGTAGGTAGGTGAAATACAGCCATGGATGGTTTAGGGAAGTGGGTGAGGTGAGAGTAGAGGTAGTGAGAAATACAATACATGGATGGTTTAGGGAAGTGGGTGAGAAGGTGAGGTAGGTGGGTGAAATACAGCCATGGATGGTTTAGGGAAGTGGGTGAGGTGAGGTAGGTGGGTGAAATACAGCCATGGATGGTTTAGGGAAGTGGGTGAGGTGAGGTAGGTGGGTGAAATACAGCCATGGATGGTTTAGGGAAGTGGGTGAGGTGAAGTAGGTGGGTGAAATACAGCCATGGATGGTTTAGGGAAGTGGGTGAGGTGAAGTAGGTGGGTGAAATACAGCCATGGATGGTTTAGGTAAGTGGGTGAGGTGGAGAGGGAGGGTAAGTTGTCAAAATATTGTACTGTAGGTTCAGGATGAAGGTGAGAGAAAGATGGTGGGGTGAGTGTTTAAAAGAGTAAAAGTGAAGGATGTGGCTTTGCTCAATACAGAGCAATGGAAGAAAAATGGAGGAAGGGTTACACTTTGGCCAAGCTCAAGGGTCTGGAGGAGTGAAGGTAGCTTTGCTCCATCTGTACTGAATGCTGAGCCCATGGATGTAAAGTAATTCTATCCTTTGAAGAGGCAAGTGTAGATAAGTAGACTCCAAGGACCCCAGTCTGTTATTTATTATATTTTAGAAATTATCATTTAAACTATTAATTTTACCTTAGAGACTTGTGCAAGTCTATGGTGAAAGGAGTGGTGATGTTAGACAATAATCTAGCCAAGGACAGGGTAGTAGAGGGAGGTAGAAGGGTATAAATGTTCCATTTGGATGAGAAGTGTTAACATATACCATTTTAAGGTGTAGTAAAGAGATGAGGGTAGCTGTGAGGGTTGGTGGGGTGGATCTGAGAGGCATGGATTGGCTCCATAGTTACCAATGGAGGGAAAAAGGAGGAAGGATATCAGTGTGTGCAAGATAAAGTGTGTCAAGTGGGATGCATTCAACTTGTTGCCATGACGCAAGAACTTATACTATAGGACAAGTCTAGGACAACTAAACACACAGTAATATTCCTACAGAAGGCATGAAAGTGTCACAAGCGTTCGCCAATATTTAGAGACGTTTCCATGGCAATGACTCCAAGTTGTTTTCTGTGGGGCCTTCTGGAATGCAACACCTGAAGTTCAATTTCCATGCTGTTCTCCTAAACCAACTGAGAAAATAGGACTCAGCATTTCACGATAAGTTCAAACTAGCATTGTCAAGCACCATCTCTTCTGGTGGGTAACCTTCTGGGAATGCAACACACATACCTGGACAATTCCCAAAGATATTAATAAATGTCAGGCAGTCCAATTGTTAAGTTACATTTTCAATCTTTTGCCCCCCAGTGATGGCAATTGTCACTCTTCACATTTCCTATTAATTATTCATCTCAGATTGCAACTTTGAATGGAAAAAATACACATTTCAAAATTAGGGTGGAAAGTTCTTTCTGTTTTTCATTTTGGAGATGATTCAGTGGGACGATAGTGTCACCTTTTTCTTGCATTCCCATGAACAGGAGAACGGTCTATGAAAATGGCAGCAATCCAAAGGTGGGTGAAAGGTGCCAGGTCACTTTGGCACTGCATCCTATGCAACCCCCTTATTGAAGTCGTGGATTCCACTATATGATTCCACTCCACTGCAGTCCTTCCACCCTATAGTGTCTTTAGCTTTACTTCAACAGTGAAATGACACCTTGTGATCAAACTTCAACGATGTCCAAACTTCAACGAAACTTTGAACTCCCATCACTGGTCATAGTCACAATTGGATGATATCTGTTGGTATTCAAAGAGGTATTTTGGGGGTCATGTGCACAAAATGGGTTTCACTGGCTGTGAGGGTAGACTAACGCTTAGTCCCTGAATATATATAATTTTGATAGTAACAATTAAACCCATTTAAATTGAAAAGGAGCCCCAGTGAGTTGGGAGATTCAGGACCCTGACCTTGGGGAAATCTAGACTTGCTTCATTTAGGGCATTGGCTTTGGAGGGAGGGCTAGGAAGTAGGGAAAATAATGTGGTTCAGGGACTGTGAGACAGACTAGCTGTGAAGGTTGTATGTGAGACTCATGAAATCTTAGTACAAGAAAGCTTTGTGCAACAGAAGCTGCAGTAGAAGAGGAATATGCAACAAGTACACAACAGGTACACAACAGGTACACAACAGGTACACAACAGGTACACAACAGGTAACAGCTGGCACTGAGGAAACGCTTTTTATGTCAAACAATGCATCACTTAATGTGAATGTTGGATCACATAAACCAGTGGTTGATAGATGGATCAAGACCGGTGCTGTCAGAATGCTGAGCCAAATCACTGATCGGAACCACTCATTCTTCAAATTAGCTTGGTGGATGGTCTAAGGTGCTGTGAGAAGTTGTATGCATCTCAGTATAGCAGAGTAGTGTGATAGTGTTCAAATCCAACTATTTATATGTGTAGGATATAACATGACCTGTGGGCATTATTGAAAAGTAAGCCCGCTTCCTGAGCGGGCTTACTTTCAATAATGCCCACCGCTCATGTTATATTCAACTTATAAACCGACCGAAGATATAATTTCAATATTTGGTATTTACTGTTGGAATCAACTGGGATGAGACTGGCAGCCGACACCTTGCCTTTGCACACACAATGCATGTGCTCTGCACGCGCTACCCGTGTCCTGCATGTGTGCTACCCGCACTACCCATCTTGTGAGGAACACATGGTTCATGCTGACAAACAATCTTATTCTTTACAGCGATCCTTCGTAACCTAGTGGATAAAACTGCCAAGCTAATAAGCGAAGGGTTGCAGGTTCGAAACCAGATATCGGCACTACATGTTGAAAGTTTTCAATAATGTCATATTTTACGATCGCATTCAGTGATAGCAAGACAAAGTTATATCAATCTTCAAAACAAGTAATATTGAAGTAATATCCTGGGGCAGAGGGACAGTATTGAAGTAATATCCCGGGGCAGAGGGACAATATTTAAGTAATCCCCTAATCGATGGGCCATTGGGATATGACTAGAAATACTGCCTTGCAAGAACAATAGAGTGAGGTCACTGGAGGTTTATATTTATTGGTTTGTCACCATCATGCCTTTTCTCATGTGTTTAACCAAAGTGGTTAAAGTTAAAGAACAGCTGGGGATTGAACCATCAACCTTCTCACAAGGCAGACGCTATATCCACTTAACCATTGAGGCTGTATTTTAGGTGACAGTCAACAATATCACTGAAACAGTCAAACATGGATGGGTGAGGGTAGAGGGATAGCTCTCTTAGGATGGGTTAGGAGATGGGCAAGATTTGGCTGGGAAGAGGATTGGTTTTCTTAGGATGGGTTGGATGACTGGCAAGATTTGGGTGGAAGAAGAATAGGCAATATCAGGATGGGTTGAAAAAGAAGATTAGGATGGGTGGAGGATTGCCTGTATTAGGATGAGTCTGATACAGACAAGATTAGAATGGAATAAGGATTTGTTGTATTAGAATTGGTGGGAAACCAGACAAGAGTTGAATGGAAGAAGGTGGGAATAGCAAGATGGGTTAGAAGATTGGCAAGAGTAGGATGGAAGATGGATTTGCTGTATTAGGAAGGTTGGGAAAATGGGGAAGATTTGAATGGAAAAGAGTGGGAATAGCAAGATGGGTTAGAAGATTGGCAAGAGTAGGATGGAAGATGGATTTTCTGTATTAGGAAGGTTGGGAAAATGGGGAAGATTTGAATGGAAAAGAGTGGGAATAGCAGGATGGGTTAGAAGATTGGCAAGAGTAGGATAGAAGATGGATTTTCTGTGTTAGGAAGGTTGGGAAAATGGGGAAGATTTGAATGGAAAAGAGTGGGCATAGCAGGATGGGTTAGAAGATTGGCAAGAGTAGGATGGAAGAAGGATTTTCTGTATTAGGAAGGTTGGGAAAATGGGGAAGATTTGAATGGAAAAGAGTGGGCATAGCAAGATGGGTTAG